CGTGACATGCTAACTAAATATAAAGTTAATATATGAAATATCACGTCAATAACCACAATTAGAATTGATTATATGACGTGTCATGTTTGTGATCTTTACTCTGTCTAATTAATATGTCTCGTTAGAATACACATATATAAGAAGTGACAATTGTCATTAAAAATAAAATTGATTATATTTTTATTACGAGATAAAAGTTCAATTGGATAAATTAAAAAAATAAATATAAATAAAAAAACTTAATTAAATACAATAAAAATATAAAAAATCAGTTAAAAATCCTTATAAAAATGCGACTTATTTATTTTATATCAGCTAGATCACCTCACATGGTGGATACCCAGAAATTAATATATTTTAACAAAAATTAGAGAGGTAATCAATATTTATTTTGGTGGTCAATCATTGTAAAAGTTTGCCATCTTATTGCTATAGTTGGTGGTAGTTTACAATATTGGTGGATTTATTTAATCTATATGAAAAGAGGAATTTTTTTTAAACAAACTTGGTATATCAAATATTTGATATTGGTGACAAATTATTTTAGGTTTAACAAATACAATTAATTTAATTTTAAAAATTTAGTTTGTTTATCAAGTGAAAAGTTAATAGTTGTTCACAAAAATTAGTTACATTTAATCATTGATAAAATGTTATATTTGTTCACCAAGAGTGTCCTTATCAAAAACATGTGTTCTCATCAAGCCTAGAAAAAACTCTTCTATGGTATTCTGGAGACATATTAGCCTTTAAACTCTTCTTTGTCTTTTTTTTTGTTTGAAAGGCAACTCTTCTTGTCTTCTAATTCTCATTTTTCTAATACTCAGCACAAATCAGACCATAGACTTCTGATATATAAGCACCAACAAGGGCATCAAAATGCTAGCAAGTGGCAGGGTTCCATCCAGTGTGCTTCATTTTCATTTTGGGTGCTTCATATGCCGCCAGGTGATGTGCACTAACCAACCCACTGGGAATTTGAGTCAAACTTTTGGTTCTCACACTCATTTTTCCACAGAAGGTGAGTACCAAGAGAGGGGGAAAGGAAAAAGCAAGTAGCAAAGCAAAGACCTAAAGCATAGCCACCGATGGCGAAATTATTCATTTTGACTGGGAAATTGGAAGGAGCGAGCCAGATGGAAATCGAGATGAAGACAGTTTTTGAAGTCACGAGGAACTTAGCCAAGCCACAACTTGCAAGTGTCCTAGATTTGACAGCAGATACTGATCCCTCTGCCATCTTCATCTTTGCTTCAAAACATGGGTCCGATACACGCGCTGCCCCGTCTACCGTTTACCCATGCGCCACGTCTCGCTTTGAATTGCCTAGCCTCAGGGTGACGTCATGACTATGGATTTTGTTCTACCTTTAACTCTTTTTTTTTATTTGTATTTAGTGATTAAATTATTGTATTTGATAAAAATTTAATGATTTTACATGATTATGTTATAATTTTTACTTGTATAAAAAAATATTAAGAGTGATCATTTTCTTAAGGAATGATTTAATTTTCATCTAATATTATGAATATAAATTAGCTTATTTATAGTGATTAGTCATTGATCATTGATAGCCTAATATTATTATAAAATAAAATTTTTTTAATGAATAGTGGAACAAATTCATAAATATTAAAAAATAAAATTCATACATTCATGTTACATAGCACCATAATTCATTTATTATGAGATTTTATTATTTTAAAAATTTTAACGTTTTAGTTACTGTTGTGGACAACCTTCTTATTTATTCCGTTATTATTTGTATTGGAATAAACTTTTTAATAACATATTTTTATTTATTAATTTGTCATTTGAATTGAAAAAACATTTTGAATAACTCTTTAACTTAAACAATCAAGGTTAAAAATGTTTTTTTTTTTACACATTCAACTCTTACGATTCACAAATATTTACATTATTATGTATATAATAATCATTAATTTGGAGTCCTCTAAAAAATTAACCTTGTGATCCAAAAAAAAAAAATTAATCCTTAAATAAATTTGCCGATCCCTGAATAACTTTGGATTGTTTAGAAAAAAAAATAAAAATATAGATAATTTTTTGTTTGTCGTCTTCTTGGAAATCAGTTAAAATTAAAAAGCAGAAAAACAAACAAGTTGATAAGAGAAGGAAAAGGTCTGGCACCTTTGTGCTGGCCAAGGACAGAAGGGACAGGTCATAATGGGGGGACCTCCATTTGTTGTTCATTTTAATATTTGGCTGGGATATTGAAAGGAAGACGTTTGGGATGGATGGAATGGTCTTGGCCTGGCCTAATTTCTTGTTCCCAAATTAATGGTGAGAGTTGAGTGAATGAAGTAGCTTGCCAGACCACATGCGCACTTCCTGCGAGCCTGACCTGTTTTACGGCAGTATATGTGCGAACCGGAACGGTCTCAATGGAAAGCTTCCGACTAGTCAGTTTTTTGTTTAAACAATAACAGATTTAACAACTTCCGGAGATTTTTTATACAATTTGCTTTTATCTTTTTCACTTGCCAACTTGGTAAGATTACATTTAGTATCCCTAAAATGTAAAATAATTTGACGAAAGAAATCCATAATTCTGAAAAATATTTTGTCAAAAAGTTTAATATTTTTTATTATTTAAATAAATTATCCAAAACATTTTTCATACGTAAATGTCTTGTTATTTTAAGTTATAGTGTTTTATTATTTTGAAAATTGTCTTATATTTTTTTACAAATTTTATAAAGTAATAAAATAATTGAAAAATATTTTATACTCGTATTTGTAAAATATTTTATATTCATAAAAATTCTCCCTTACAGAAGATTGAAAATCTTTTATGGAAACATTTTATATTCCTTGAAAAATGTTTTTCTAAAAGTGAAACACAAAATAATTATTTCAATAAAATCATATCATTGTAATTATTTTTACTTAGACACTACAATATTTAATATAACACAAAATAATTAAGGTTAATTAAAAAAAATTATATAAATAGAAAATAAATTTTTCACACTTGAAAATCTTTTTTTTTAATTTTTAATTTATGACTAATTGACTGAATAAATTAATTATTATAATAATATGATGAGAAATAAATAAATAAATAAATAAGGTTAAATATTATTTATATATAATATTTTTAATGTTAGAAAAATGTTTTGGATGTAGTACATAATTAACGTATATTAATATTTTTATGGTGTTAAAGGTGAAAAATTATTGAAGATAAATAAGGATGAAAAATAATTCAACTAGTAGAAAATATTTTTGACAATTTATAAAAATAACAAAAATTATTAAATTTTTCAATAAAATATATTTCTTCGACAAACTATTTTACTGTTACCAAAACGGAGCCTGAATTTTCAAATGGAAACCCCATATATCCGAGGCTAATGTCGTGATTGAAAATTTATTATTGCAAGAATTTAGACGCATATATGCTCTTAACAATTATGGGACTGTCAAAAAAATCCTTGGAGCCCACAGATTAGGGCATATGAAGTCCTTTTCCAAGAAAGAAGAGGAAAATGGAAATTGGAACTCTTGAAGGGTTTCGTTTCGAAACGGAGGCAGCATTTGCGTGTTGGCTTGGGTTCGTTTCGAAACGGAGGCAGCATTTGCTTGTTGGCTTGGGTTCGTTTCGCGCCTGCTTGCATCCTTTTACAGGTTGGTTTGGTGGTGTTCCTTTGCTCTGCTTCTCTCCATATCTTCTATTTAACGAAGGGCTCTGCTTTTTCTGCTGTGCATATCCAACCGTTAAACACATTCTTTTTTTTTTGTTCTCTCTCTCTCAGTTTGACCCGCTCGTCAAGGCCTTCTCTCTCTCTCTCTCTCTCTCATGGAATCCTCTGCTACCATCGCCATGAAAGCTTCTTCTTCGTCTTCATCTGTTTTTTCTATCTCTCAAACCCAGATTTCTAACCCAAAATCACTTCTTTTCAACTTCCTTAAAACACCCAGAACCAATAAAAAATCCTTGTTTAAGTCTCTCAAATGTATCCAATCTCCACCTCCTGGTTCAACTCCTTCAAAGCCCATTTCTTTTTCCTGCTCTGCTGTCACCGTGTCTCCCTCACAGACCGCTCATCTCCCTCCACGTAAACTCTCCAGCCTTCTCTCCGAATTCCAATCCCTTTTAGAGCCTCTCGACCGTGTCAAGCGTCTCCTTCACTATGCTTCTATCCTCCCTACTCTCCCAGCTTCTTCTCGTACCGACTCGAACCGGGTCATGGGCTGCACGGCCCGAGTTTGGCTCGAAGTCCAGATGGACTCTGAGGGGAAGATGAGATTTTGGGCCGACAGCGATTCGGAGATCACGAAAGGATTCTGCGCATGTTTGGTTTCGGTTCTTGATGGGGCGGCGCCAGAGGAAGTGCTGGGATTGAAAACAGAGGACTTGGCGGCGCTTAACGTGGGACTGCCTGGTGGGGCAAGGTCTCGTGTAAACACGTGGCATAATGTGTTGGTTAGTATGCAGAAGCGAACCAGGGCCTTGGTTTCTCAGAAGGAAGGCAAGGCCCCGTTTGAACCGTTTCCTTCGTTGGTGATCACGGCTGCGGGTGTTCAGCCAAAAGGAAGCTATGCCGAGGCTCAGGTTAGTTCTTTACTGATTTTCGCACCCCCGTTGTTTTTTTTTTTCATTTGGGTAAGACTATTATCTTTTCAGGATTTTATTTTCCTGGTGGTATTAAGATCCTAAGTTTCAATTCTAGTTGAATTGCAGGCAAGATATTTGTTCCCGGATGAGTTAAAGGTGAAAGAACTTGTCAATGTTCTGAAAGAGAAGAAAATTGGTGTAGTTGCTCACTTTTACATGGATCCTGAAGTGCAAGGCATCTTAACTGCTGCTCAGAAAGATTGGCCTCACATCCATATATCTGACTCGTTAGTCATGGCAGATACAGCTCTCAAGATGGCAAAAGCTGGATGTAAATTCATAACCGTTTTGGGTGTAGATTTTATGTCAGAAAATGTGCGTGCGATTCTTGATCAAGCTGGCTTTGGAGAGGTATACTGTTTCCTTTACTCTTTCTCTTCGAGTTTACTTTTCATTTTTTGTAAGAATTAAATGCAAAGTACTTATAAGAGAAGAAATTACCTTGTAAAACTAGAAGAGCATGAATCAGACACTAGGATGGTCATATGATAGGGAAGTTATGTTGAGAAAGCTTTCTAATGAGAATTAATCTACAGATATCTAAACTTTACAGCTGGGAGTATTCTCTTGTTTTGGACCTAAATAGTACAATTTAAAGCTGTATGATCCAAAGTTTTATGTACGCACTAAACGCAAGACAAAAAATTGAAGTATGGTACTGTTGTTTTTCTTTGGCACATGGCATGCTTTATCTGGCATTGAGCTGAATGTATCCTGTTTTCAGCTCAAAAGAACTAATGCTGTTCATGGATTTGTTTCTTTGTATAATGTAATTGCAGGTTGGTGTCTACAGGATGTCAAATGAACGCATCGGTTGTTCTTTGGCTGATGCTGCTGCTACACCTGATTATATGAACTATCTCAAGGCAGCTTCTAACTCACTTCCTTCTTTGCACGTTATTTACATTAATACTTCACTAGAAACAAAAGCTTATGCTCATGAGCTTGTACCTACAATCACTTGTACTTCTTCAAATGTTGTGCAAACCATTCTGCAGGTGGGTAGTATTCCGAGCATCATTTTCTTTTCTGCTGCTTCCTCACATAGTGCTTTAACTTCAGTCTTAAGGTATCTGTTCTTAGTTCACCTCTCTTGGTTTCCACAGGCTTTTACTCAAATCCCAGACTTAAACATATGGTATGGGCCTGATTCCTATATGGGTGCTAATATAAAAGAGTTGTTCGAGCAGATGACTTTGATGTCTGATGAGGAAATTGCTGAATTATACCCAGAACATAATAGAGACTCAATTAAATCACTGCTTCCTCGCCTGCACTATTATGAGGTATATTATTCTTTAGTATTTGGGGAACTGAGATGAATTAGAGTTTGTTTCTATGGTGAGTCACACAGTGTACTATGTATGTCTGAGTATCAACTTTGGTGATGATGTTATGTCTTTATGCATCTATAGCAGCCTGGTTTTTGCATTTTGGTTGTTGGAAATTTTATTTATCACAATTTAAGATTACAAGGAACCCTTTTTAAAGAAGAAACAAAGAAAACTTTTTGGTCATTTTTGTTTTGAAGGATGTGGGAATTCATCTGATTGTTGGCACCATTTATAAATTGTTTATTGCAATATTTTAAGTAGATAATAAACATAGGAATTACCTGAACAATGAATGAAGCATTTGAATCCATTTATTTCTATGAATTTATCTACAAGCTGAAATATGCTTTGAAATAGTTTATCTTATGACATGGCTACTATTATCAGCAAACCTGTCTCAATATTCCTTAACCACATGTGATTTGCCTTTCTCTGACCCTTTCTGATCAGCAGGCAGAGTGTATACTATAGCAATCAGATCAGGATTCAGGAATTATTTTACTTTCCTAATTTTCCCTTCATATAGCTTTCGCTCAGACTTCCATCTTGTTTTATTTTCATTGCAATCAAACATGAATTTCATGGAATATCTATCTCTCTGCCTTATCAAATATATGGCACTGCATACCAAGTCCAAGCTGTTGCATCATGAAACATGCAAAATGGAAGAAGTATGATTGCCAGAGACATTTTGGTGAAATGCAGTGGAAGGGGGAATGTACATCCTTCTGCCTTGGTGTACTTATCTTGAGCTGTGCATTTGGCCATGAAAACTTATATCGTAGTTTGTTGCTTTGGCTAAAACTGTTTCTCTGTTATTTCTGCATTTATGTATAATTGCTGCAACACTTCTGCTGAGATCTTTGCATAGCTGTCTCTCCTATCTTTTATTACTGCATTTTCCCTTTATCATATCTTGCATTTGCTGCTTTGGAGGTACAATTACTTAGCTTTTTATCGCTGACTTAGTGACATTTTTCCATCAGGCTGGAACATGTATTGTTCATCACCTTTTTGGACATGAGGTTGTAGAGAAGATAAATGAAATGTACTGTGATGCATTTCTAACAGCACATTTAGAGGTTCCTGGAGAAATGTTCTCTTTGGCAATGGAAGCCAAGAGAAGAGGAATGGGTGTTGTAGGCTCCACTCAAAACATATTGGATTTTATAAAACAAAGGGTTCAGGAGGCATTAGATAGAAATGTTGATGACCACCTCCAATTTGTCTTGGGTACAGAATCAGGAATGGTGACTGCAATTGTTGCAGCTGTTCGCAGTTTGTTAGATTCTTCAAAGTCAACTTCTACAGCAAAAATCAATGTTGAAATTGTCTTTCCAGTCTCATCTGATTCAATGACAAAAACATCTACGAGCTCATCCCCAGTTCTTGAATCAGTTAAAATGGGTGATGTTATACTCCCTGTTTTACCTGGAGTTGCAAGTGGGGAGGGATGTTCTCTTCATGGCGGTTGTGCATCTTGTCCATACATGAAGGTTAGCATGCTCTTATATATGTTAGCACAGTCCTTTGTAAATTTCATTTGCTGATTATTGTCTTCTCTATTAATTTAGGCTGCCTGCTGATGTCTTGAACTGTATGTACACTTTCTGAAGTTGAATAGTAATTATAGGATGTGAAAGTTGTTCAGTAATTGAAAAGAACAGTGTGAAAATGAAATTCAGTAAAAGCAGTAGTTTTTTCTCATGTCTAACATTTGGATCAAACTGGAAAAGTTATGAAATAATGTTTCTGAAGTTAAGATTTAGTTGTAGCCAGACCAAAATGCACCATGTACTTTAGCTGCTAGCAGCTACTATGAGGTTGTAGAATCATTGAGAAATCCTTAAGTATGCTAATTTTGGGAACATAAATTTGAGAAACTGGATTTTTTTTTTGTTTGTTACATAAATTGTAAGGATGAATGCAGCTATTATATGTGAACTAGTTAAAATTTGATTCACCTATGTATTTAAGAGAGTGTAAGAAGATAAATATCAAATCACCATTTCATTTAGGTATTTGAAATTCACCACTAAATAGAGATTTAGCAAATTTATGAATTTGAAAATATACTGATGTTTTTATGAGTTATATCTGTCACAAAATTTATACTAAATTTGAAATCCGTATCACATCTTCCATATTCAAGTTCCCAAGTACAACTTAAATTAGTAATCTTGATTCTTGGTGTTTAGTATTGTGTTTGATTTGGTCAGCATTGTTCTATGCTTTTGCCTAACTAATCTTGATATCATGATCATGTTTTATCACATTCTTCAGTTGTCTAGAATGACGGGTTCATCTGATCTTTTTTTAATTAATTTATCCATGTTCCATAGAGAAGCCACTATTTTGCTATTGTTTATGGTAAAGGGTAGTGAACCTTGATATGTTAATGTGGTAGCATATTTTTTGTTACCTATTTTCTCTGTCTGAAATGTTTATTACTTTATCAATTGAATTTATTTTTTTAATAATGGATGAGGGGTTTAGATTTTGGTTGTACTCGTAATGCCTTACCTCGGTGTGACATGGCACCTATGCTGACCATGTAATGTCTTCAAATTCTGTTTAATTCCCCCAGGCTTGTGTATTAATGTTTTGAATCCTTTTTTTAAACAATAAACAAGTTAAGCTTCTCATATTTGATTAACTCTCATCTCCCAGATGAATTCTCTTACCGCACTCCTAAAAATTTGCCGCCAATTACCTGATGAAAGAAATATCCTTGAGGCATATGAAGCTGAACGGTTCAAGTTGCAAACCCCTCAAGGAAAAAATATTGCAGATGTTGGATGTGAGCCTATATTGCATATGAGACACTTTCAGGTTAGTATTCTCTTTCATTTTTTGATTATTGGAGAAGCGGGAATAATTTGTTACATGAAAGAACTGTACAAATGCAACAGAAGGATGGGACTTCAATTTTCTGGGTTTTGCTTTTGTTGAGATTCGGTGATACTTATTTTGCAGGCCAAGAAAGAATTGCCAGAGAAGCTTGTCTACCAGGTTCTTGGTCCACATGGTAATGGAAAGTCAGTGTCTATAAGCTGAGCCGGTCCAGGAATGCATGCTGGGTTTTGGCCTAACGTGTTTTCCTCCAAGCAGATTAGGTTTGGATAGGGATATCGCTCCATCAGAGGTTCACACAGGGTCTTCACACCCCCCTCTCTCTCACTGTCCTCCAAGTTGCTAGTTATAATAGTCAATGTAGGTCAGTGCTAGTTTTATAGGAAATCAAAGTGGATTCAGTCCTGGTTTGTGTTGTAGACATTGTATAGCTATTAGTTCTACAGGGAAGAAATCATCTTCAAGAAGGCTTGAATTCTTAAGAGTAGTGTACACCACGACAATTCCAATTCTATGCAAGAAAGTAGGCCCCAAGTTTAGTTTTGTCCAAATCACTTTTTTGTTGTAAACGAAAATGTTCACCGCCATTTCCATCTGAAAAAACTACATAAACCATTCTTGAACTTGGATGTATCCTTAAAATGGCATACGGTTGCCTATGATTAACCCTTTTTCTCTTCTTTTCCTTTGACTGATAACCTCTTCCCTTGGTTTGCTTTCCTTTTCTCTCACTCAAAGCCAATCCAGGTGGCTATGATTTCAGCTTTGAATTTTCTAGTTGGTTTTCCGCACTTCCAAGTTCGGAAACATTGCTTCATCATTAGTACAATTACGACATCATTCTCAATTCTATAATTTTTAATCATAACAAAAACTTGATGCTATATAACAAAGAAAAAGAATTGATATAATACTTAAAAAAATACAAATAAATTTTTATTTTTTATTATATTTAATTAAATTTATATATTTTTATTTTTAAGATCTTTTTTAAGTTTTATAGCCATAAAATATTAATATAATACAATTTTACTTATACTACACGCTTCAAATTTTCATTATATTGAAGAAAAATTATTCCTATTTCTGTTAATGATATGTATTTTTTACTTTGTGATATTTTCAACTATGTATCTTCGAGCTATTGTAAAATTAAAAAAATATGTTTTTTTTACTGAAATAGTAGTTTATACAATATCAACTATTTTCACAATTAAGCTTTTTACTCTAATGTATGCAAATGAGTTCTTAAACTTTGATTTATATCCAAATAAATTCTTAACCTTAACCAATAATCTTAATGAAAAATTAATTATCATCAAAGTTGAAATTTTATGTTTACATGATATATGATTTGGCTAACTCATATGATCACGTATTGTTTGTATAAATTATGCCAGTTAATTAAATTATATATGATGTAGGCGTAAAATGTTTTTTTATATCAGATATAATAGTTAATTTTTCGTTAAAATTAAAAGCTCTTTGAATACAAATCAAAATTTAAAAATTAATTTGAATACAATGAAAGACAAGATTATTATTATTATTCTTTTATAGACTTTTGCTAACTTGATTTTGTTAGGAAGACAAAGATAAACCACAAGTTTTGTTGTTTCTTTATGAACAATCTTAGAGTTCTGCCTAAAAGTCTAAGGAAAATCCGTGTTCAAGTATGGTGGTTGACTGCACGCAGAGCAGACCGATGATAAAACTTTTTAAATTATTTTTATTATCTGATACTATAATATATATATACATATATATATATAGTCATTTACTTTGGCAAATACATATTAATCCCTTCTTAATACAACAACTATATTTAAAACTGAAGACAGGATTTGGAAAAGGCTAATGAATAAACCCTGGTTAATATATGTCCTGGAGATGATTGAAAGCCTATAATGCTGGTATTTCCTAAATCACGAATATTATTTATTCCGTATTCTGACAGCAACTTGTGTCTTATGTCTTATACACGTATTTCTTCATTATTGGAAGCAGAAAAGTAGTTCACACCCCACAACAAACACCTTCTCCAATCCAAAGCTATCTCTTTTCAGATTTTCAGTCACAATCTGCTGCTACTTCGGATATCTGTTGGAGGTTTCGTTTCTCCACAGAATTGTAACGAAAACAAGGTACGTCCTTAAGAACTCCCTGCAGTCTCTCCCTTCTTTCTTTTTGATGCATATTGTTTGATCTTCTGTTGAATCATAGCTTTGTTTTAGAGTTTTAGTTTTCCGGTTTGTGGGTTTTTGATACTTAGCTTGATATCTCTTTGGTTCTCTCTTGTCATCCGGAATGACGGCTGCACATGTTTCACGTTTCGCTTGTTTTTCTCAGCCGATCTGGGAAACCAATATTTTCTTGTTTAAGAAGCCAGAGAGAGGAGTCTGTTAACTGTTGAATTATTTTCCCAATCTTTGTCTCGTATGTAGGATTTTCTGTTAGTTATGATCTGGGATTTTGAGGTCTGTTATGAACTCAATCGGGTGGGGATGTTGACTTGTTTCGATGAATCATAGTACTGTACGATGTTAATTTTTACTCGTAGAATCTGCCCCTCATTAAAATTCCCACCTCCCCTGAACATTCACCCACCAAACTGACACAAAGGTGGAAACTAGTTACTTCTGTGAATGATAAGCTTCCTGCTTGGTTTATTAAACAACCTAGGCACAATGTCGCAAGTCCTTGACTGAAAACCTGCTGGACTTCCACCAAAATGAAAAATTTACCCAAAAAAACAAACGGTGGAGTAGTGGAAGTGGCAATGGATTCCTCTGAGCATAGGTCATACGTTCTGCTTAAAAAAATCATATGCAAATTAATAATTTAAGATCCTGCAGTGTGCCATCATCTAACACTGAGCTTCTCATCTTAATCGGTGGTTCATTCACGCTCCTGCCTAGTTATTCTTCCTCTCTCTATATCAATCCACTCTTTATAAATAAGCAAGTTTACTGCTGAATGTGGAAGACACTGGAGATTTTCATTTTTCTAAACAGGGTGAGAATTGTTCATAAATAAGTGGTGGAATGAGTACCGAACTAGGGACCATGATGCAGATTAGCGTGAAAATTCAGGGGATAATTATTTAGAAGATAACCTAGAAGATGATGCAAAGCTAGATAGGAACAAATCTTGAGGCAGAAAACCTTAGTGCTTATGTTTTAGGCTTTTAGCGTATCAACATATTTACTTTAGACATGTATGTTAACATAAAGTGTAGCAATGCTGAACGTAAGAAAGTATAGATTAAAAAAAAGGTGAACCGATTTTTGCTTTTGTTCACTTGCCAAAATTGAACATATATATGGCATCACAATCAATTAAGGGAAAGTTAGTTGGAGAATTGAGAATGTATGGAGTAAATCTTGAGAAGAATTGCTGGCATACTCTTAGTTCAGGGTGATTTGTTCAGTCTGTGATATACGAGACTAGGATATAGATCAAGCCTTCTTCAAATGCTCATAGTTATATGCTTCTAGTCATGGCTGGCAAATTATGCTTGGAAATAATTTGCAATTTGCATAAGTTAGAATTTAGAAGGATGGACTTGAGGAAGATTTAGAAATTTTCTCACGCGTGACGTTCTTATGAGTTTTCTTAAGATTGGCCATGTATGGACCATGCTCAATGCCTATAGCTACTTCCTTGTACCTCTACTTGTGGGATTTTGATGTACATATGCACCTACATATGCCTTGTTTTGTTGAATGGTTAGATTAATCAGTCTCCAAAACTTTTTCTCCATTTGTCACCAAAAGCATTTATGCTAAATAAATCCACCCTTTTAGTTAGAGCCTTTGTTGTTGCCATTCGTTCTATCGAGAGTCGTATTCTGCAACAATTGACAGAAGAAATCCAAAAGCACATGCCTAATTAGGTGCTTTGGCTGTAGTAAACCATTGTTACAATGCGGTGTGGTAGGTTATTCTTTTAATTTTGAACATGTGCAATGAAGTTTCTGGGATAGCCAAGTGAGAACCAAAAACTACTTCGCTTAAAAATGGTTGATGACTTTGTTTCCTATTTACATTGCTTTAGCTTTTAACAGATGGCTGTGGATTGGATAAGAATTCTCTTGTTTAGAGGTCCATTTTTGTATCACTGGTTTAATGACACGCTTTATGGCTATCAAGCATAGTTCTTTTCTTTTGACATTTTTTTTTCTTTATTTCCTAAAGAATCCATTTCATTACTCAATTTGACTCTGACTGAATTCTTTTGCCTTGGAAAAACTGCGTAATTAATCACTGATTTTGTAATTTTATAGGATTAAGGAGTGAATTCCACATGGGGTCTGCAAATAGATTAACAAATGGGCAAGGCAGACATCCTCTATTTTCCTTTGGCGTTATCTCTGATGTCCAGTATGCTGACATCCCTGATGGCTGCTCATTCATTGGGGTTCCTCGCTATTATCGACATAGTATTCTTGTTTTGCAAAGGGCAGTCAAGAGCTGGAACAACCTCAAGAATCTTAATTTTGCTATTAATTTTGGAGATATAGTTGATGGCCGTTGTCCCAAAGATCAATCTCTAAATACTGTGAATCAAGTAGTCGGGGAGTTTGAAAAATTTAATGGTCCCGTGTATCACATTATTGGAAATCATTGTCTTTACAATCTCCCACGGGATAAGTTACTTCCTTTATTGAAGATCCCAAATTCTGGTGGTGGTGGTCATGGCTACTATGACTTTTCACCAACACCAGAATACAGATTTGTTGTACTGGATGGCTATGATATCAGTGCAATCGGATGGCCTCATGATCATCCAAATACATTGGAGGCCTTGGAATTCCTGAGACAAAAGAACCCAAATTCAGATAAAAACAGCCCAGAGGGACTGGAAGGCCTGGATAGAAGGTTCCTTATGTTCAACGGAGCTGTTGGAAAAGAACAAATGGAATGGCTGGATGGTGTACTTCAGGATGCAACAAACTTGAAACAGAAAGTAATTGTATGTTGTCATCTGCCTCTGGATCCGAGTGCATCAGGCCAAGAAGCACTTCTATGGAATTACGACCAAGTAATGGATGTGATTCATCGTTACAAATGTGTGAAGGTATGCCTAGCCGGGCATGATCACGAAGGAGGACATTCAATTGATTCTCATGGAATTCACCACAGAGTGTTTGAAGCTGCCTTAGAATGTCCTCCTGGTACTTATGCATATGGGTATATAGATGTTTATAACAATATGTTATCCCTTGTTGGCGCCGACAGAATGAAAAGCACCAATATCAGTTTCCATCCTTGACAAATTTGATAGAATATCAGTTCCTGAAATGTCCTATTCATTCATCAAAGATGTAGTCCATGTTATGTCGACCACCATTGACAGGAAAATGCTTGGACCTTCAAAGGTTTCAATGTAACAAGTCGGCTTTTCTCGCAACTAGTTTGGATGATTAATCATTGATTTTGTATGTCAAATTACACATACTGATCATTCATTCCTGCTGCTTGTCTAGGCCTCTGGTGTGCCTTATAATATAATATTGAAGAGTTTTAGTCCAATTGAGAGGGTTGGTGTTAAGGGCTAACAAATAGGGGAAGATCCTCTCTACTAAATTTTCGGGTTTAACATTTAGTTTCCATAAAAAAAAAAAATTCTTACATTAAATATACATATCAATAAAATGCAAATCTCCGATTATTTATTACAAGTGATAAC